ACCCCAGGCCCCACCGCCCGCTCTTGCGGAGAGGCCCCGGCTGCCTCCCCTTACTGGGCGGTCACAGGAGGTGTTGTGCCCCACTGTTCCCGGCAAGTTCCTGTCTGTTAACCCCATCGCCTGTGGCGTTTCGTTGAATTCCGCTTCTGCGCAATATTTTAATTTTCTGGGTAAAGGCTGTGAGTGGGGAGCCAGGGCGTTACTTAGTCCAGGGCAGGCGTCGAGGGTGAGAGAAAGGTCAGTGGCCGGCGAAAGATTTTATCATTTAAGCGTATAGGGGGCAGGTGTTTTTATCAGAGGGATTAAACCCATATAGATTCAGACTTGATTTTCCCCGGAGTGATACATTTTGAAGACCAAACATGATACATGAAATGCATAAATGCTGAATTGCTGCCCATAATTACAGTAGTTTAACCAGGATACTGAAGGATTTGAATTTCTTCTGTGAGGTGTTAAAATACTGTCTCTTCCACTACAGTATTTGCATGCCATAAGGTCGTATTAGTGGCCATGAAACATTGCTTTTCTGTTAAAATGCGGGTCTCAAATAATTGAATGTTCTTCAATAGGAGATGACTAAATAGTAATCCTTGTTGAAATAGTTATAGTGTTATTGGATACATCTTGGAATAAAAACAGCTGTGTGCAGTGAATTTTTTATTGGATGTATGAAGGAGACCTCTTCATATAAAAATACAGTTTCACCTTGTTTGGAAAGTGAAGGATGCCATAGGAAATATGAAGGAGGTGTTGCCATTAGAAAATTGCTGATGCATTTAACAAGAATAGTGTGGGGAGAAGGCTATGCTAGCTAGCAGGCTACTTCTAGGTTTGTTCAGTTTATTACAGCAAAGTAGGCCCCAGTCCTTCATGGTTTACAAGTACATTTAACTTTAGCTGCTGCAAGCAGGTAATTCAGCTTCTCATAGTGTGTGCTCGTAACCTTGTTTAGGCTATGTTATTAAAGATTGAATTGATTCTCCCTGTAAGCTTATTCTTCCTTTCAGAGTATTTTGCGTAATGGACTTGGTCTCCTTCCATTTAGAACAGAGTATATCTGTATGATATATCTGTATATCCTGAATCACTCTCCATTCTTCAAAATTCTAGAATTACGGAGCCTCTTAGCTTAATTCTGGGATTTTAAAGTTTTTCTAGAAGTCTGTATCTGTAGATACCCATTCAGTACAGTGCAAGTCGCAAATTATGATAAACATTATCTAACATGGCAGAAGCTAAATCAAATAGATATTACTGTAAAAGCTTTTCCTTTTTTAACTTTTATGGCTATTTCTGTCTTCCACAGAACTTCCAAGTTAATCTTTCTTCATTTAGGTCCATTAGATACCAGTAACATGATGGAGAATATATACTGCTAGTAATTCCTTAGTGAGATTAGGTGGATGTAGTTTTTAAAATAGTCTGAAGTAAATTCCTTGCAAATGTTTTTTGTATTTGTTTTGTCATTGTTGTTGTTTAAATAATAATGTCTAGGAATAAATGTAATTTTGCTGGAATGCTGTATCAGTTTTTTAAGGAAAAATGGCTTTTTACCAGTTTGCTCTGTGCTTTTCCACTGAATAAAGTTTCCAGTGGTTCCTTATGAAATAGAAAACTTGTATCTGATGTACTGTTGAACTTTGTAAATGTAACTCAAAAGTAATTTCATTTTTATTTTCCTTATTCTAGCTTTTCTACGGAAAGTCTACAGCATTCTTTCCGTTCAAGTTCTTCTGACCACAGTCACATCTGCAATTTTTCTGTACTCTACTGGAATACAGGCATTTGTTCATGAAAGGTAAATACTAAAATAAAATGGGGCTGTTTATCGTGTGTTAAGTGTAGTTTATGCAGTATGTTGCTCTGGAATACTTCAGTGTACCTAATCATTTTTATACCCCATGTTTTAATTCTGTAACAGAAGTTTTGTAACCTTAGGAAATAACTTTTCTTATCCTTGGTTTATTATTAGAATTTATTATCGTTATTGATGTTTATTTTAATCAATACTTTATTAATAGTGCTTATTTTAATATCTACACTATGAAAACCTATACATCAGTTGCAGAACAACTCAATTACTGACACTTCTTGTTTTATGGTCTAAGTGTCTGCTTTTAGAATCTGTTTGGACTGCTGTTGTTTCTAGGTACCTGTTCCAAAAAGCTGAATCATGTCCTACGCCTCTCCCTTCCCCATCTTATTTTGTTGGGGTTTTTTTCTGAAAACTGTTCTGCTAAAATTCCTTTGGGCTTGCTTCTTTTTGCCTCTCAGATTTCCACGAGGAAAAAAACAAGTCTCAAAAACCAAAATGGTGAACAGGCAGGGGAAAAGAGCAGCTGGGGAAAGGAGGAGAGCACAGAGTCCAGTTTCTGTTTTCCCCCAAGTGCACTTGCGGACTTTGCTTTTACTTTCACTTCATAGCCCTAATAAAAAAAAAGCAGCATCAAATGCTATATGAAAGTTTCTGTGTAAGCTATAATGTATACAGTATAAACCAACAGTTTTATACTTAAATAATGTAAAATGGTCCTGCTTATATAGAACTGTTGTGGTTTTGTGTTTGATTTTGGTCTAGTTTTTGCTTGGAGTGCTACTCAGATGATTTAATTATAGCGATGTTTACTGATTGGTGATGGTTTTCTTTGGCACAGTTATTGCCCACATTTCTTGCATTCAGATGCTGATAAAAAACAGTTCCCTGGATGTGGAGTTTTTAATTGGCAAAATATTACATATACTTTAATGCTGTTAGTTTAGTATTGATGTATTTTCCTGATCATACTGATTTTCATCTCCAGCTGATGGATTCCTGGGCAATCTTGAGCTTCAGTGTGAAAAAATTGTCTTTACTTGTGATTGTACTATTTTTAGCTGATGATCTGTGGTGGTATGTTTTAGAGTAGTTTTATTGTAAAACTTGCTTTACATTTACTTTGGATATATGGAGCGGTATCTTTATCTAGGTGATCACTTAAGAACTTGGTTTTGTATAAACTGTTCTTCAGTCTTCCAGATACTTTATTTTAATTTTGATTACTTTTTTGTATGGAACTTTACAGGCCTGCCTTGCTTTTGATATCTGGGTTTGGATCTTTGGCTATAATTGTGGCACTGACCCTCTACAGACACCAGCATCCTGTTAATTTATACCTGCTTTTTGGATTTGTAAGTATTTATATAAATTCAATTTTAATAATCCCTAGAATATCTTTCATTGTGATGAACTCCTTGAAGCAAACTAGTGGTGGCTAATTTTTTTTTCTTGTATTCCTTGAAAGATACCTTATATACTTACGAAGTTCTGAGTTATTTTTTGGAACTTCTACCCACAGGTTGTTCCTAGATAACCACTACTTCAGGTTTCTTCCAGCATCTTTTTAGGAGGAGTGTTAGAACTTGCAATCAGGTTGAGCAAGCTTTTTTTTGTGTGTGTGTGTATAAATATATCTATCTGCTCTCATTGTTCTGTTGATGTCAGTCATTTGAAACTGCTCAGTAGGAAAAGAGGAGACATTTCTGTTACCTTATTTTCTTAATGGGCAACCTCCAGCAGAGACTTAGATGCAACCAGCCGTATGTGTTTACTTCATGGTTTTCTTTTTAATGCTGAATTCTGAGCATGTTTCCAAGATGGGCAGGTCAATCAGAGCTGTCCTCAAATTTCAGTCTCCTGCCTGATGTTGTAAATTTGTAGATATGGGCTAACAATATCTAATATCCTCTTGGATATTTTGGATTATGCAGCAAATCAGGCTTCTGAAAAGAAGTCACAGTAGCACCATTGGAATTTGATGCTTTAGGAGTTGCCTAAATTGTATTTGTGATACAATGGGAAGACAGCTTTGCTGTGTAAGTAAATAGACTGTTGAAACTCTAAAGCGGTTGTATGTTTTCTGACTTTGGAACTCTTGCAGGAGAGTAAAATGTTTAAAAACTTTCAACAAGTGTGGTTGTAACAAGGAGTGATGGTAATAGTTTGGCCAAATGTGGTGTAGGAGTTTGTGGTGTAACAGTTTAAGTATTACACTGAGTAGGAAGAGAAGGATTCAAATGTGTGTGTGGTAAATTGGTTTAAACAAAATATGGGTTAAATGTTCTGTTATTTCTGATCTCTTTGTTCATGCCATAGATACTTTCCTCATCTTTCATGGTAATGAAACTTCATTTGAAATTACCTTTTAGAAAAACTCGAGGCCCATACCAGCCTTGAGCTCAGATGTCAATAATATGTTTGATTTTAAGTTAGTTGTTTCAAAACAAGGATGAGTGGGAAAAGGAAATCAATGCAGATGCTTAGCTGTCTAATGAGATATTAAGAATGTTGGATGAAAGTACTTCAAATACTGAAAAGTATGCAAAAAGCTGAGAACAGTTCATTTCTAGTAGCAGCTCCAAGAGATTTTATAGCACCTTGAATAGTTGTAAGAAGTGTGATACTAATGCTGTGTGCTTTGAGTAGAAAGTGGAAATGGCATTTTTCTATAAGAGGGCTGTCTCTCGTTTATTTAGTTTATATTGTATTAGTTCTATGTAATGCAACAACTTCCAGCACCAGTAAGATGGTATGATTGCCATTTTCTTGTTGAAAATTAAACATGTTTTCATATGCAACGATTTAACAAGAGAGCTAATATAACACATGCTGGGGTTATATAGAATGGGGCTCATTGCATGTGAAGTGTCCGTGTAAGTGTTTGGTGTGGGTTTTTTTGTCCTTGTAATTTTCTGTTTTTACTTTTTGTAGACCCTACTGGAAGCACTGACAGTTGCCATTACAGGTAAATGGTAGCCATCCTATTGTCTAATTCCTTAAAGAAATTGGAAAAGGAATCCAGTATGTTGTACTAATTGCCATCTGAGTTTCCTAGATGTGACTAAAGTGATAATAAATCCCCTCTTTGAAAATTTTAATGACAGCAGTATGAGATTAGCAAAACAACAGGAAATCAAGGGAGAAAACTGGACTCTGATCCAGAACTGAAAAATCTGTAAACATGAAGTGAGAAATTAGTTGTGCCATCTGTTCTTTTGGTACAGCTGGCAATGTTCTTTCCTATAAGACAGCTCTCAGCAGAGCTGATCTGCAAGTGAAATATCCTTATCTTCCCCCTCAGTTTCCTTTAAGGGAATTACTTTGAGGTTGGAGAGTTATGTACTTTGTTGTCAGGGTTGAGATGGGGCAGTGTGTGGACAAATCATGGCATCACCTTGCACTATAGCTTCCGGCATAAGCTGAAATCTCTTCTTTATGGTTTCTGAAATCTCTTCTTTATGGTTTCTGAAATCTCTTCTTTATGGTTTATGGTCTCCTGCAAAAAAAAAAAAAAAAAAAAAGTTTAGAGAGAGGAAAGGTTGAGGAAGGAGGGAAGAAGAAGGTTCCACTCATTTCTCTTATCTTTCCCTTCCTACCCACTAATCAAAACTTTTATGAGCCTTTACAGAGGACTGATTGTCTTGTGATTTTTTTTTTTTCTTGTTTTAATATCCCTGAAAAAATTTGGATGGCTTTTTCCATAAGATCTCGCATATCGAAGCTTAAAAAGACTTCTGATTTTCTTAATTTTTTTTTTTAATTGTGAGTAGGGAAGATCTGTTATCTCCATTTAAGAAGCTACAGCTATGCTATAACTGTCAAACTTTGCTAGTGCAAGGGTCTGAGTCCTGTGATCATGATTTTGAAGTGCAAAGACAAGTTCAGGCATAATTTACTTTTTTTGTTCACAGTTTAGATTTTTTTTCCTGTCTGTGAAAGTTTAAACTTCTGTTTCTTCAAAAGATAACTTAGCAAATCCATAGCATAGTGTTTGTTAAATGACAGTTTACTTCTTTTGTTTATAGTGAGTTTCTATGATGTGTCCATCGTCTTGCAAGCCTTTATTCTTACTACTGCTGTATTTCTTGGACTGACTGCATATACCTTGCAGTCAAAGAGAGACTTCAGCAAATTTGGAGCAGGGTATGTTGTCATATTGATGATTTTTCTTTTTTTAAGCTAGTTTTTCCTTTTTTAAAGCAAGCTTTGCAGATGCGATAATGAATACAGATCAATAGAACCTGCATCAAGGGAATGGTGAGGGTGTTATCTTAAATTAGTTTCTGCGGTTCTGCTTTCTTGGTAAGAAATTCTTTTCTGTGATTATGATTCTCAAAACCATAGTATTACACTAAAAAACTAGTTTACCTGGGTTTTTCACTGAGACAGAGGGCAGCTGTTTCAAATTTTTTTAAAAGTAAATTTAGGGCATAAGTTTGACAGCTTTATAAAACAGAGTTTTACCACTGATACCAGTGAACAGCTGGCATCTAAGAATTATGGACATGTACTTACCAAATATATCATGAAGATGTTTTATAGTAAGGGAAGAGATTTTAAGTAAAACTTAAAAGAAAATACATTATTGCTCACAGTTTAATTTTTTTTTCAGCCTCTTCGCTTGTTTGTGGATTTTAATTTTCTCAGGTTTCTTGAGGGTAAGATACCTTTTGTTCAAGGTTAAAAAATATTATTTAACATAATCTTTTACTAGTATTTCTAGTATAAAAAAAAGGTTTTGTACAGTCCAATATAGCTTAATGAAATAAAATTCCTAACCAGATCCATTACCATTGTAGGTCATGCTGGTGATCTTTTAACCATTCATTTCCAATTCAGATTTTTGCTGGATGCTGTTCTTGCTAACATAAAAGTGGTATTTGCATTGATTGACAAATTGACAATTGAGATCCACTACTTGATTGAGAGAATGGGAAGGAGATTGGGGGGTTAATTGTATTCTGTTTTTCTAATTTTTCTGATGTTAATATTCTGGAGACCAGAGCTTCCTCTCTCTTCAGTGGAGGCACTTTTACTCTATTAAAGAGATTGTGTGACTGGGGACTATATGAAATAAGACATTGAAATGTCATTGTAATAATGTATTTGTGTGTACATAACACTAAAAAGAGAGCGTGTATCCTTGTTTTAAGTATGGCATATCATTATGCAGGGATTTTAATATTAAAAAGAAAATGAAGCTTAAACACTTTTTCATGTTTCATTTGCCTCCAGCTGTTTTTCTACAGTGAGACAATAGAGTTGGTGATTGCTGCTGCTGGAGCTCTTCTGTTCTGTGGATTTATTATTTATGACACGCATTTGCTTATGCACAAATTATCCCCTGAAGAGTACATACTGGCTGCAATCAATCTCTACTTGGACATCATCAATCTGTTCTTACACCTGCTGCGTTTACTGGAAGCATTTAATAAAAAATAGTCAGAAGCAGTGTGGTTTGACTGTAGCGTATATAAAGTCAAGTACCTAAATAGCATTTGGATGACCTACAAACTGTACTTCTGTCTTCTAGAGACCGAATCTTTATTACTTTTTCATTCCATGACTATTGATCCCTCCTTAGGAAAAGAAAAGGTATTTTTAGGTAGCTAAAGTTCTTCTCTAGAATATATATTTTATGTAGTTAACATGCTGTCGTCGTGTCAGTCACTTTTTTTTAATCACTTAATTTGCACTTGACATAATTCATGTTTAAAACATTTGCCGACTTACGATTGCTCCAGAGTAAGCCTCTCTCTGCTAGTCTGTAGCTGCTGGGAAGGTTTCCTTTGGGATCGTAGTGTGTGTACCCCGTAAGGGTAGCCCAAGTTTGTCATTGTGCAATGTTTTACTAAGCTAAAAGTTTTTCTAGTTTTTGTTTGGTAAAATGGAATGCTGTCTCTAACAGAGGTATTCTGTTCTTGTTAAGGGTGGTCAGATTATTTTGTAAGCTGGGAGGGTGTTAAAGCGATTAAAGGGAATGTTCTTGATTTAAGTATTATTTATTGCCTGTCTTTCAGTGTTCTGAAAAATATTTGGAGATGGAGTCTGGCATTTGATCAACTTGTGTATATTAAGGTTATGTCTATCAATAAAAATTGGGAAACCTTTAGTTTGTTCTTGCAGCTGGGACAGGAGAACTTCGGGGCGCTGAGAATGAGCACTGCAAACCTTTGCCGCACAGGCAAGGTTGCTGACAGGGGAGAAGTGCCATGATAGGGGAGAGGTGCTGCGACGGGCTGCTTTCCAAGCTGTTGAAATCCTGGAAGGGCAGATATTGTAAAAACAATTTTGAAATGCTTTCTTACTTCATACTCAGCATTGGAGTCAAAGTATTGCTACAGCTTGCTTGTCCTGTCAGTGAGAGGTTAGCAAAAAGGCGACATGGGACTTAGGGAAACATCCTGCGTCCTACCACAAGCAGGGCCAATGTATGCTTTCTGTGCTAGAATTTGACTGAGGCTATGGACAAAGTAGGACTGCGAATTGTTTTGAGCGAGTGTGATGATTTCTCTCTTCTGTCTTAGGGTTTCATTAAGAAACACGTCACAGTAATTAAGAATCAAACGTGGGGGGGTTTTCCCCCTTGTGATGAAATACGTGTTCATTTTTCATCCCTCCCCACCACCCTCTGCACGCAGTGGTGGTCGGACGCAATGTCACACCCGCAGCACGCAGCTGCTCCGTGGCACAAGCACGAAGTCGGGAGGCGGCGGGGCGAGTTAGAGCACACCTCCCTCCC